GGAGGTCCTGATGAGCAGAAGCCCTCCCCGCTGGGCTATGCCCCACCACGATCTGCCTGGGTTGGAGCTGGTCCCCTGGAAGGACTGACTTGTCGAGCCAACTTTGACGACTTCTCATTTGCCATCACTGGTCTAAGCATCTTGGCTAATGCGATGACCACCCAGGCAACTGCTGGCCTCCCAAATGGGGTTAGTGCTGCAGGGAGTGAGGCTTCCTCTACTCCCTCAGGAAGGACCAGAAGCATCGATGGTTGTAGGAGTTCAGCCATCAGGCCCACCATTGTTGACAGTACATCCTGGCCTGGCCAAGCTGGGCAATCTGGGCTGATACCCACAGGTGAAGCCCTGGTGTTCTGAGACTGGGCAAAACTCCTCAGCATTTATGCCACCACCACCCACCTCACCTTGAAAAATGAGAGAAAGCCAAAGGCATCACCAGCCTTTGGCATTCCTCAGGAAGATTTCACCCTGAAGAAAACTCAGAGGGTACAACCCTAGCCTGGACACACTGAGCCCCTACCCCGGACACACTGAGCCCCTACCCCATACCCAACCTACAGAGGAGGCGATGGAAGAGGCCAACAGAGCCGGGTCAAGGGCGTTCTCTTAAGGCAGACCCTCTATCTGACTGAGGGGGCCACTCTGCTCTCAGAAGAGCAAAAATGCAGCAGGCTGGGGAGCGGCAAGAGGGAGGGTTCAGAGCTTCACGCTAGGTGTGCGGCCTGAGATACATCAAGCACCTTCAGTTTTCCCACCTATAAAATGGCGATAGTATCTACGGTACCGGATTATTGGAAAACTAGCAAGGAGTCCAGAATATGGCGGCTCCTCAACTTAAGGCTGCTATGTTAAGCCTGATACGATCCAAGGACTTGCAATGCTGCTTTGGATCCCTTGGACAGCCTTCCTATGCTTGGTCCTTTAGAACTACCTCTCCTGTTAGTGGCTTCCTGAATCCCCAGCTGTGGGACCTCGAGGAAGCCACTTAACCTCTCTGTACCTTGATTAGCTGCTCAGGGACTGAGGCAAAATAAACTCTGATGGCCACTGAGTAAATGCTCATATGCCCAGCTGTGGGAATAAGGGGTAGGAGGCAATGGCAGGAGCAAAGCCAGAGGACCCCAAGCCCAAGGGAGACTCAGAATGAAGGGCCACCCCTACTAAGTCCCTCACTGCAGCTCTGCTTTCATAAAGCCTTGCTTTACATAGTTAGGTAAATAAGGGAGGCTGCATCCGTATGGGTATCTAGGGTCCTTACTTACTTCTCCAGCATAAAATTTCCCCCGGGAAATGCCCCATGGGCTTCTGACGTGATCCAGCCCCTTCCTTATTCCCACTCCTGTGGTTCTTCCTCTATTCCTCATCAGAGGTCTCCCTCTTTGGGGCTGGGAATCAACTACCTCAACCAGGCGAACTTGACCCATCCTGGGCTGTGGCCTGGCATCGTTATTATTATATGCACGGAGGTGTGTGTCTTCCTGTGTCTGTGTGTCCGGTCCAGCAGTTCTACCTTCCTCTCCAGGCAGATTTCTTCACACTTCCTGTTGGCACCACTCCTGCCTTAAACAGCAACAACAACCAACAGTTATATTGTACTTCCTATGTTCCGGGCACCGTTCTAAGTGCTTTACCCGTGATAATTATTTACCTTCACCAGACCCTATCATGTAGATAGTACTATTTATTGCTATTTTAGAGATGAGGAAATCAAGGCACAGAGAGGTTAAGTAGCTTCCCCAAGATCACACAGCTAGTAAAGAACAGAGGCAGGTTCAAACCCAGGCAGTCTGACTTCAAAGTCTGTTTTTTACCTCCAAGATGCACAGCACCCTGAATATAGAAAGCCGGCAACCCTCAGAGGTGCAGTCCCACCCTCCAAATTCCTGCCTCGTCATGGGGCACATTGGTGAAGTAGTCTAGCCACAAGCAGTGAGGGTAGGAGCAACCCTTATGGACACTCTGGGGCATAGCTTCTAAGAGTGAGCCTGAGCAGAGCAGCCCTGGGAAATCCCCGAACAGACACACCAGCCCCAGCAAGTCAGCAAACTCGGAGGCTGCGGACTTGACATTGGGCTACCTCTTACCCCCACAGTCCACACGGTGACAAGCTCTGCAAATAGCGGCCAGAGCCACGGGACTAAAGAAGAATCCTCATGTGTGCACAGCTTGGAAAGGACACACACGCAGAGCACAGTCATCCATAGGAGCACCATCTTTAAATAGAAAAGATAGCCTGAAATACACCCTGAGCTCACGTGTGCGCTCTCTCCTCTCTCTCTCTCTCTTTCTCTCTCTCTCGCTCTCTCTCTCTCCAACACACACACGGCCAGGGCCAGCAGATCAACTGAACAAATGCCTTAGCTGTACCGGTGGCAAGGGAAGGAATTCTAGTGCCCTGGCAGCTCCTAACTTTCAGTTCCTATTTAAAATATCTGAATTGGGAGCATCGACAAGCTCCCAAATTAGCTTTTTAAATAGAAGCTGAGAGTTAAAGGAAAAGCGGCCGTGTCATGGGGGAAAAGCAATTGAGAATCCTGGCCAGGCTGGGCCAGAGGCAGAGAGGGGAAAGGCGATGCTGGAAAGATGCAATGGAGGGCAGGGAGCCCATGGGAGGGCAGCATCTCCAGGCAGTGGCTCCTTCAGCCGCCAGAGTCAAGGGGCCTCCCTTCTGCCCATCACTTGCTCTCTCTCTTATTTTCCAGGTCACCTGGTTGTGAGAAGAGATGGTAAATAAAAACCACACTGGCCTAGACTAGAAATTTAAATCTTTCATATTTTCCTTCTAGATCTTCTCAACAGAAAGGAGAGTATAGTCTATAGCTACTTTACTTAAATGATGAGATGTGAGCCTGGGAGGAATGGGGCCAGGTGTGTTTGTGTTGGGGGAGGGGGGGGGGGGGGGGGGATTCTGAACCAATGCCCTGTCTTCAAACAGGGCTGACCAGGCACAGGAGAGAGCACAATTGTCCTGTAAGTATACCTCTCTGGAGGAGGACGATGCTCCCAATCTAACTGTTCCAGGAAACCTCCAAGCTTTGGGGCAGACTCAGCCCTTGAGCTACCCGCAAGATGCAAAACAAAGATGGGAACGCACAAGAGTTCAAACCTGGGCAGAAATAAAGTACCAGGTTTTAACTCTCCCAAGTTGGACATGGGGGTGTTGGACTGAAGGAACCTGCCCTTCCGTGGACCTGCTCACCCAGAGTCTGGGGAACTCCCAGGGGTCAGAGCAGTTGTGAGAAAATTAGCTCTTCCCCGAGGGATGGGAGGAGGGAGGTGGGAGCAGTGCCAAGGCCTTCCCTGAATTCTTCCCCTGTCTGCCAGGGAGCGGCACTGTTGTTAATCATTATTACTGTATGCAAATCAGTATGCAAATCCCACACCGCTCCGGGACTTCTGGCAAATGCTAATAGAGCCCACGCCCAGCTCTTGAAGGGCCAGTGTACACCTTTCAGAACGACTAGCTGAAGGGGGTTTTGGGGAGAGTGGGTGAATGAGGGGCTCCGAGTCGCCAGGGGCCCACTGGGGCTCAGGCCACAGTGACTCACCCCCCACCCCTTAATCTAGAAAAGGGCCAAGGGTTCTCACAAGCCAGAAGCCCCGTCTGGACTCGGAGATGTTCTTTCCCAGCCCGCTTCAAGAACACCCTTCCCTTCACCGCACACTTTGCTTTTCCCTCGGTCTCTGTCTCACACCCAGAACTGTGGTCGCTCAAGCCCTGCGTTCCGGTCCCTGCTGAGGCACAGAGCTGCCTCGCCTCCGGAGCGCCAGGCGATTCCGGGTACCCAGGCCGAGATCTCTGGATTCCGGACACAGGGAAAGCTGGAGCCACGCGGATTGGCAAGGTTCGAGGGGACTGAACCCTCTGCGCACATTGGCCGAGAGTGTAGGAGTCTGGGCCGTATACCACTCTCTCCGGATGCTCCAGGGCTCCATCCGCCCGGCCCTCTGGGCACGTGCCGACTGCCGGCTCCCCCTCCTGGACCAAGGCATCGGGCAGTGGGAATCCATGGGTTTCGGAGAGGGACCGAGGCACTGGGCGGACTTGGGTTGAGAGTTCACGCTCCCAAGACCAGACTTTTGGGTCTGGGTACTGAGTACACGTGGAAGCATAAGAGGGCAAATCCCTACCTTCGGGTCGTGCCCCTCGCGCTCTGGAAGGAAAGCGGCTCTTACATGGGGCAAGGGCATTGTGTGTCCCCCCCGAGACCTCTCCAGCTCCGGCCACAGAGCTCAGAGCCGCGGCGAGCCACGAAGCTTGCGCGGTGTCGGGCTCCACCTCCCCAGGTGGCAGGGTTCGGCCGCAAGCAAGTGCTGGTGTCGCGTGGACAGTCGGTAAGAGACACCCAGCTGGGTCCACACACACCCCACGCGCGCACACACTGGAGCTCCCTTCCACCTCTCCCCGGGTCGCCAGCACACACGCCCCCGAGCTCACGCTCACGCCTACTCCCCGCTCCGCCCCCACTCCCAGGCCGCGCTCACCTTGACACGCTCACCCCCGGCCCACCCTCGCTGGCACACGCGCTCACACCCGCGTAGGCACACTCCACCACCTCCAGGCACACCCTAGGATTCCTCCACCGGCCTGGGGAGACGCACCAGGCTCTGCCTCGTCTCCCTGCCCCCCACCCTCGCTCACGCGCGCGCCCCTCTACACACACACACACACACACACACACACACACACACACACACACACACACACACACACACACACACACACACACACACACACACACACACACACCCTCTCACGGGGAGTCACTCCCCCTAGCACGCCCTCGCCCTGGGCACCCTCCCGCGGCGAGCCTCCGGGTCCTCCTCATCTCTCCCTCCGCTGCCTGGCGGCCCCGCGCTCTCGAGCCCGGCCTGGAGCCGCTCGGCCGCCGGGAATCGGTAGGGAGACGAGGGCGCAGCCTCGCCGCCTCCCCCGGACTCTCCTCTCCGCCCCGCCCGCGCCGCGCCCCCACCGCCTCCCCCCTCGGGAGAGGGACCTCGTCAGGCAGCCGGTGGCCCGCCGGGCTCCTCTCCGCGCGGCGCCAGCGGCGGCGGGGGCAGGGCGCGAGCGAGGGAGCCCGCGAGCCCGCGAGCCCGAGAGCGGAGCGGCGAAGCGGGGAGGGAACGCGCTGCTGAGCCGGGGCTGGAGCGGCGGCGGCAGCGGCGGAGGGAGGGCCCCACGGACAGACAGACGCACGAACGGACCGAGCCAGGGAGGGAGCGAGAGAGACTTCGCCGGCGAGGAGGAGCGGCGCGAGCCGCGGCTGCTGGGCGCTTCCCCGCGCTGCTGGGTGCTCGGCGCCTCCGCGGCCCCCGGCTCCCGGCCTCAGCTTCCTCACGCGCGCGAGGCGCGGGGTGCGGGGCCCGGGGCTCGCTTCGCCGAAGGTAAGAGGGACGCGACCGAGCCTTCAGGAGCCAGGAAGTGCGAGGAGCGCTGCTCCCACGCCTGTTGCTCCGGCTGCCCACGCGGCACCCTCCCACTCCTGCACCCGGGTGGGTGGGCGCTGGGGCGCCGGAAGGATTGGGGGTGGGGCTGGCGCCGTGGGGGAGCAGGCAGCCGGCCCGGGGGCGTCGGTTCCCTTGGGCTGCGGAGCCACCTCCGGGGCAGCTAGGCGCTGTGAGGTTTGGAGGTGGGGTTGTGAACCTCTGCCCTCCTTCCATTGGCCTGCCTTCCCTCGGGGGTGCCAGAGGCAGCGCCACTGGATCCGGCGGCAGGTGGCGACGGCTCGCTCGGTCCCTCGCTCCTTGTGAGGGGAGAAGGAGAGAAATGGTTGAGGGTGGAAGCAGGGAGCAGTTTGGGGCGCTTCAGAAAGTTCTCCAGCCGGGCGATCCGTCGGTGTGCCTACCAGAGGCTGGGGGCCCGCACATCTGGTCCTGTCCGACGCCGCTTCCACCCTGCGAGCTCGGGGAAGGGTCTCTGAGTGACACCGTGGGCCAACGCGGCCCGGGGGAGGCCGTTCCGAAAGACTCACTTTGCGAGATGTTTACACTGGGGATGAGGCGCTGAAGGGACTGGGCAGAGAAGTTACCTGGAATCAACTAAATTCCTGCACTTGCTTAGTGTTGACATTTGAATCGAGTCCAAGATGTTCTGCTTTTATCCCGGGCAGCCGTGATATGTCAGCAACAGGCTGAGGTTCCGGACCTGGAATCTGATAGCAAAGAGAAGGCTCTGTTGTATTTCTTAGGAGAGGGTGCCTGAACTTTCTCGCGATCCTAGGTACAATGCGATCTATTTAAGACCGGGTTGCTATGTGGTGCATGGTGTATTTTGCATGAATTCACAGCGATGGTTAGGTTTACGCCTTTTTTTACCATTACTTCAAGGGAACCTGGATATTAAATGTCTGTAGAAAGGCAGCCTGGGCCAGTAGGAATTCAGTGCAGAACATGTGTATCTTTCCCCATGTGGACATGTTGGCAGAGGGGTGGGAATAGATGTGTTTATTTTTCCTTGTCTCTACTTGAATGCAATAAAATGCAAGTACACAAGGGACCCCCAGAGGAAGAAAGATTAGTGGCTTGTTCCCTTTCGCTGTTGAAGAGGCTGGAGGAGAAAACAAGAGTTCAGGAAAGTGCCCTGGCCAGCCTGGGAGTGGCAGTGCAGGAGAAGAGGAGCTCTGTGTGTGTCCCAGGCCTGTACCCCAAGATCCCCAGCTTGCCACTCTGTCAGTTTCATGCCTGCTTATGCAAACCCTGTGGGCACAGGAGAATGCCCCCTGGGTTGTCAGGACCTTCTCCTCCCCCAGACTGGCCCTATTCTGGGCTGAGCGATGTGTCGTAAAATCGTGGAAAGTAAAAGTTTCCAGAGCCTCTCCATACCCGGCTCTCTGCGGAGGTCACTGAAGGGCAGACCTTGGTGACATGACATTTTGGTTGCCTTGCGCCTGTGCTCAGGTTAGGTATCAATCCCCAGGACAGGCTGCCTGGTCACTTTGCCCACGTTTGCCCTCTACCTCCTCCGGAGAAGTTGGTTAACAGGGCTGCCTTTTTACAGCAGGCGAATGTGTTTCCCTTTTCCAGGAGTTTTTTTTTTTTTTCCCCCTGTGTCATTTCAGCACTCACCTGTTTTAAATGTCTCTTCCCCATCCTCCCCCACCCCCATCTTTCCCACTGTCAAACTCTTCTGCCAAAAACAAAAATAGCTTCAGATTTTTCATTTGTAAGGCGTCCACGTCCTAGTAAAACCTTGGCATTTGAGGCCTGTGCAGTGCCATTGGCTGGAAATGGGGCCGCACGGTTGTGCCTGTTGCAGGAATTCATACCCAGGTCGGCTCCAGGAAGTGTTGGTGCCCATCACGGGGTGAGCGCTGTGGTGATAACCTTGGAGAAGCCCTGCTTGAGCCGGGTCATGCCGACAGGGTTTGTGTGGAGGGTATGGCTGGTATGGCCGTAGGCATGGTATCTGGTGGCGACACTTTTCCTCTCCTTCAAAACTCACACACACACACACACATACACACACACACACACACACATACACACTCACACAGAAAGTAGCAATGGGGTAATTCCTCCCTTTTTGGTACCTTTTACCAGGGGAACAGGGCTCGAAGCTCTGGAGACAGCCTAGCTCTTGCCTGGCCTTCTTTGGGAAGATTGTCCTGGATTAATGCATGGCGTCAAAGTTTGGCCTTGGGGCCAGAGGCTTTTATGATAGATAGAGAGGGACTGTTCCTCCTACCCCAGCTCTCAGTTATTCATCTGAGAGCAGTTTGTAAAATACCCAGGGCCCTTGGAGAAGAGGAGATTGGCATAGGGTGGAGAGCATAAGGTGATGGGGCTCACCTTGGTAGAGGAAGGTAGCAGGCAGTGAGGTTTGGGAGTCAGGGTGAAACAGCACTGACTCTCAGGGTGCACAGCTGCATACCTGGCCCAAGCAGGGTGCTGCAGGGTACCTCTTGGCTCAGTTGTCTCTTACTCTTTGCCACTGGAACCCCTCAAGTTCCTGCCTTGCTGAGCTCCATTCTGGGATAAAGCGGGAATGTTAAGAGTCAGAGGTCCAGGGCCCAGGGTCAGGAGCCTGGCTCTCTTTACCCTCCAGGGGGGTGGCCAGGGGTTCTGTGGATGAACTGGGCCTTTGATTGCCTTGAGTTCTAAGCGGTGCAGGTTGTGTGCCCTTTTCTGGGCACTAGCCTCAGCAGGCATTCCCAGAACTGCCCTCTAAAAGGAGGCTCAGACTAACTCTGTCCCCACAGCAACAAACCCAGATCGTCTGCTTCCTGCTTTGCAGGGGCGACTGCCATGGAGGGGTCTCAGCGAGACCTGAGCTACAGGCTTGATGTCCCGGATCCAGTAGAATCAAGGATTATTCGAGCTAAAGATCTCCTTGTCGCTTTCTCGTCCAGTTATCTCATTTGACAGATGAGGGCTGTGAGGCCCAGAGGGTAATGGTGGCTTGCTTCCACAAGTTCAGGAGAGAATTGGAACTGGAGTGCAGGGCATCCAGACCCCATGCTTTCTGCCGCCTGGGGACAGGGTGAGGGGAGTATACATCCTGCTGTCTTCCATGGGGAACATCAGTATCTGACTACACCTAGGTCAAGAAAGCCATGTGGCAGTGAGCTGATCGGTGGCCTATTGGAAGATCGTCAACTCCCATATACGTAGAGCACAGTCATTTTGAAGGAGTCTCAGCTCCTTTTCTGAAACTTGTCAGCATAAATGCCCATGTCATAGGATTTGGGGGGGATGAATTAACTGTTGCTGTAAAAGTGCTTAAACCGGTGCCCACTGCATGGTCAGTGCTCAGTAAATGTTGGCTAAATCTGAACTGGGATTATTTTGTCACCAATGTTTAAATTGTAGTCTTGCTTCCCAAACTTCCCTTGCCCCTTAGAAAGCCTAGCTAAGTGTGTGCTTAGGGACTACAGATTCTCCTAGTAACCTAAAGGAAATACAGGGAGTTATAAGGGTAAATTTCTTGAAGAAAGATATCAAATGCACAGGATGTGTTCCCAAGTCCTCTATCGGCAGCATTAGTGGCATGCGGATTACTCACTGCCGTGGATGAATGACCCCCTGTTCTTTCCTCAGTTCCCGTAATCAAGAACTCATCAGGCCTGTGCTGTTTTACTCTTCTCTGAGTGGTGACATTCAGAGGAATGTCATTGTCATTCCTGATGTCTACTGTGACACCTGAATCAACCTCCCTTTATGAGGAAGCAGAGGGACCTGTGAATACGCTCCTTAGCGTGAAGAGGGGGAAACTGAGGCAGAGATTGGCTCTTTGGGAAAACTCCACTGAGAGCCACAGGGAGTCAGAGGCACTTAAATTGGGTTCATTCTATTCAGATCTATCTTCAGAGTTTACTGAGTGTTTGGAGAGAGAATGCCCACCCTTGAAAACCCCTGATAGGCATGGCATGGAGTAAAATCGATGGACTGCAAATGACATCTATATAATCTGGGTTCCCCCCTACCAAAAGCAGGTTGAGCACGGACCACACTGCCTCCTAAGTTGTCATGTAAGTGTTGAGGTGTCATGGCCTTTACCCTTAAGGAGCTTAGTGTGGGATGGGGAAAACAGGGAAGAGACGTGGCTATACCCTTGAACTCCACGTTGAAACTGCCTGGGTTTAAATCTCTCTGCCTAATTATTACATCCTTTAGCCAGTTATACCTCCTCATACTTCATCTTCCTCACCTGCAAAATGGGGACGACAGTGGTGTCTGCCCCTTAGGGGTGTTGGTGGGGTGGGCTGAGGTGATCCGTGTAAGCATGCAGTACTGGGCTGGCTGGCAGGGAGCCTTCAGTAACATCAGCTGCTATTCTTCTTACAGGAAGACCTTGAGAAGCAGTGTAGCACCTCAGGGCACGTGGCGTGGGGTGGGATCCCCATTCTGCCCCTTTCCAGCTGGCAGACTGCTGAATTTCAGACTTCTTCCTGGGGTTGCTGTGAGGATTACATGAGATGATCCACAGGAGACAGTGCAGTGCCTGGCATAGAGTCAGTGCTCAATTATTGTTGGCCATGATGATTAATAAGAGAGAGGGCTTCCCTGGTGGCGCAGTGGTTGAGAGTCTGCCTGCCGATGCAGGGGACACGGGTTCGTGCCCCGGTCCGGGAAGATCCCACATGCTGCGGAGCAGCTGGGCCCATGAGCCATGGCCGCTGAGCCTGCGCGTCCGGAGCCTGTGCTCGGCAACGGGAGAGGCCACAGCAGTGAGAGGCCCGCGTACCGCAAAAAAAATAAATAAATAAAATAAGACAGAGAGTGTCTGTAATCCAGGCGAGAGGGTGATAGGTGCTAGGGAAGAGGGGCAAACAAAGTGCCGAGAGCCCAAAGGAGGAGAGAATTTCAGAGCGGGGAGAGGAAGGCGCATCACAGAGAGTGAGGCACAGGTGGGATTCTAACAGGAGGGCTGGGTGAAGGGGAAGGATATTCCCAACAGAAAGGAAGAGTGCCCACAGACAGAACCCACAAGGGCTGCGCCTGAGCCCGTCTGTGGTCTAGGGGGCGTGCAGGGGACATGGGGCTAGAATGATAAACCAGGATCGGTTTATGGAAATGCCAGAATGCCGCCAAAGAGTTCGGACTTGATTTTGTAGGCTGTGGGGGAATCTTGCTTAGGGAGATTACCCTGAGCAGAATGGATTTACTGGGAACGGGAGAAACAGGGTCGGGGAGGGGGGGAGTTGAGAGACAAGCAGGCCAGTGGGAAGGAGGCCTGAGGGAAGTGAGGCCTTAATGAGGGCAGTAGAGCTCCTGTCTCATTATTTGGCAACTCTTTGGGTGGAGCAGTGAGGAAGGTGGCCAAGGCGACAGGCCCGGGGTCAGGGATGCTGTGAACAAAAGGTAAAGAGCAGCTTTTTTGCAGGGAGGTAGACTCAGCTGACACCTGCCAGTTTCAGAGGCATCCAGGTGGGAAAGTCCGTGGTGGCTCAGGAATGAGAGGGGGTAGAGATCTGGAAAACCTAGAAGAGTCGGGAGTCAAGAGGAGCAAGCAGGGTTACAAGGAAAGATGAAGATCAAATCCCATTACAAGACTCACCCTCTGCCTCCTTTCTTTAAACCAGCTGAATTCCAGAGGGTCCAAATAATTCTGAGTCAGGATTGGTTCTGCGTGATCCGTTTAGGATTTGGGAAAATGAGTGTCAACCCCAAACAACTTCCCGTTGCTGTTACGTGTGTTTCTGTGTCACCACATGTCTCCCCACAGATGGTATACATTTGGGATTGCAGAGTCATTTCACTATCATCTTTAAAAAGCCAGATTTGGGTAGGTAAATCTGTTTCCCAAAGCCAAATATAATTCTCCGCGCCACTGTTCCCTCCATCCACGCAGGTGATGGGGAAGTGTGTACTCAGCGTGGCTCAGAGAGCGGTGAGTGAAGGGCCGAGGTGGCCCAGCTCTGGAGGAATCTCTGAGGGTGGAGAGAGGCCAGGTGAAAGAGGCTGGCTTGGGAAAGAGTATTGTTATATAACCCGAGGGAGTTGTGGATGGTGGGCAGATGGAGACGGGAGGCGAGGAGCCTGGAGATGGCAATAAGCGTGGATCAGCTTCCTCTGGGAGGGAGAGGGACAATGCATGAAAGGCAGGTGAACCAAGAATCCAAGAGCCCTTTGCAAGGTGGGGGAGGAACCCCAGCCTCACAGCCTCTGCCACATCTTTCTATTATGGCCCTGAGGGCGCGATTGGACACGAGGTTGCTGGATGTCCCAGAGTAGCGCTCCACCAGAGTCAGCCTTCTCCATGGGACTCGGGGACAGAACTCCACCAAATCCTGGGTTTGTTGTGGTCACCTGCCATCTCAGACAATTGTCCAGACCTGGGCAACCCCAGCCTCCTCACCCGTGAAGAGTGGAAAGAATGTCTTTACCTGATCTCCCTCATCCGCATGCCGTTCCTGATTACCCTAGTGGGTGAAGAGAGAAATAAAAATTAGCATGTTTATCCCACTTTTAAATTCATTTAATGAGAACTCATTTACCCTCTCCCAATTTAAATTTGTAGTAATGCCATAACCTTTCGGAGCTGATTATTACCCACGTCTTCCCAGATCTTTCTGCTAAAGAGGCTTTCCCTCCAAATGCTTCTGAGGCCCCTTGGAACTTGACAATGTGTCAGGCAGTCAACAAATTCCGGTGATCCCACACTGCTGCACGGGCCCGGTGGGTGCTAGGTGCTCTCCCGGCGAAGGGAGGGGAAAGAATCAAGTCTCCTCTCTTCGGTGGTGTCTTCAGTTCCATTAATTTGCCTTCCAGACTTTTGCTCTTTCACTTACCGATGACCCTTCCCTGTGTCCCATTTCCCACCCGGGGGGCCAATCAGGGACTCACTGGTTCTCCGCTCTCTCCTCCTGTCTCCAGGGGTCGCTGAACTAACTCTCAAGCTGGTGTGCGCGGTGGCGGAGCAGTGGCCGCCCAAGAGCTGGAGTCACCATGGCGGCCGGAGTCGCAGCCTGGCTGCCTTTCGCGCGGGCTGCGGCCATCGGGTGGATGCCGGTGGCCAACTGCCCCATGCCCCTTGCCCCGGCAGACAAGAACAAGCGGCAGGATGAACTGATCGTCCTCAACGTGAGCGGGCGGAGGTTCCAGACGTGGCGGACCACGCTGGAGCGCTACCCGGACACACTGCTGGGCAGCACGGAGAAGGAGTTCTTCTTCAACGAGGACACCAAGGAGTACTTCTTCGACCGGGACCCAGAAGTGTTCCGCTGCGTCCTCAACTTCTATCGCACAGGCAAGCTGCACTACCCCCGCTACGAGTGCATCTCCGCCTACGATGACGAGCTGGCTTTCTATGGCATCCTTCCCGAGATCATTGGCGACTGCTGTTACGAGGAGTACAAGGACCGCAAGAGGGAGAACGCCGAGCGGCTCATGGACGACAACGACTCGGAGAACAACCAGGAGTCCATGCCCTCCCTCAGCTTCCGCCAGACCATGTGGCGGGCCTTCGAGAACCCGCACACAAGCACACTGGCCTTGGTCTTCTACTACGTGACTGGCTTCTTCATTGCCGTCTCGGTCATCACCAACGTGGTGGAGACGGTGCCGTGTGGCACGGTGCCTGGGAGCAAGGAGCTGCCGTGTGGCGAGCGCTACTCGGTGGCCTTCTTTTGTCTGGACACCGCCTGCGTCATGATCTTCACGGTGGAGTACCTCCTCCGGCTCTTCGCGGCGCCCAGCCGCTACCGCTTCATCCGCAGCGTGATGAGCATCATCGACGTGGTGGCCATCATGCCCTACTACATCGGCCTGGTAATGACCAACAATGAGGACGTGTCGGGCGCCTTCGTCACGCTCCGGGTCTTCCGTGTCTTCAGGATCTTCAAGTTCTCCCGCCACTCCCAGGGCTTGCGGATCCTGGGCTACACCCTGAAGAGCTGTGCCTCTGAGCTCGGCTTCCTCCTCTTCTCCCTCACCATGGCCATCATCATCTTTGCCACTGTGATGTTTTATGCCGAGAAGGGCTCCTCCGCCAGCAAGTTCACGAGCATCCCCGCCTCTTTTTGGTACACCATCGTCACCATGACCACACTGGGGTAAGTCCTGCTCTGTTGGACTGGAGAAGGGCGGAGGTTGGATTGACGATGACGCTTTGGATGGTATCAGGATTGGGCAGAGGAGGATGGAGTCGCTTCTCCAAGTTGTAGGAGCCAGGGAAGCCCCTCATCAGAAGAGGAAGGCACGTGAATGATTGGTTTGGGGAGGACAGAAGTCTCGTAGTTGAGTTTTCTTTTCGCGGGGGGCATGTATTTTACAAAACATGGAAAATTAAATCCCCGTTTATGTTTTTCAGCCATGCCTTCTGTGTATGTGTGTGTGGTGAGGGAGAGGTGAGTGGTGATGCTGCATGCTCATATGCATCTTGTGCTTGCAAGGGCTGCCTTGAGGAGAAAAACAGCGTAGCAGGAAGGAAGAAGTCAGTGAGGAGTTCAGCGAGTGTTGTCAGGAGGGTACAGATTTCCATTAACAGAAGACACCTAGAACGCTCTTTGGGGATCCTTCCTGCATTTCTCCTTTGTCGTATATTTGCAGGCTGTCTTCTCTTTTGCCTTACTTTTCTTCTCTGCTGCCACAGATGCTCAAGGGTTCAGTGGCTCTGAACAGACTTTCTCTAAGGGACTCTGAACTTGGGTTTTCTGCAAAGTGAGGCACATGGTTTGTTTTTTTCTCACGGAAGGAACAGCAGTCTTGCTTTCTCAGCCTGACTCTGTGATGGAATGATCTGGCCTTCCTGGGCAATTGTGAGGTGGTCTGAATGGATCATGTGGTCAGACACAGTGGCAGCGATATCATCAGAGGGAGGGAGAGGCGCTCAGCGAGGTCACAGGTGACTGTCTCTTCCATCTCCCCGAGGTCCCCTCTGCAGCTGAGGTCACCAAAATGTATTTGCGGTACTGGGATGTGAAGATTTCCATCAGAGGATGGGGGGTGAGGAAGCAGATTACAATCTTCGCCCTAACGGGATTAGGGCCAATGAAGGCAGCTTTACGGAGACGTGTATTTCTTAGGGGTTGCTGCTTCAGCCGTTGCAACTCGTTGAGGCTAATGCAGAACCCCTTCATTATTCACGTGCTGGGTCTATATTTGCTTAGGCCAGGAAGCGTTATATTGCTGATGGAGAATTCATGAAGCTTTTTATTTGGTGTTTGACAATTTGGTTCGTGGCGTCCTGGTGATTTGATTTTGTTTTTCCTGGCTGAAACCCTGTGGCACTGGTATCGGTTTTTCCATAGTGCTGCATGTGCTTGTTGGGAATGACTGAGCAGGTGATGGGACCTTTTCAAATGATTACATTTGTCATTCTGCCACATGGGAGGGAGTAGCAAGGGGGAGGGCGTGGGGTGTCACTGTCCACGATGGGGGCATTCCATTCACCTCTGTCTGTCTGACAGAGGCCACCCTGCCCCTTCCTCCCTTTCCAACACACACGCAGCCTCCAAATAGCTGCTCCCACCCAGATGGGCAAGAAAGTCTGGTCCTTTGACCTTGCCTCTCTTGGCTCAGGGGGCGGATGTGGCTTCCTGGCACAGTGGAATATTTAGGGATTAAAATGGGCTAGAGAGCTGGCCACGTGTCAGGAGAAGGAGGCACATTTGCTGCTTCTGTGCTAACCTGGCCATCCCTTCGCTTTCCTGAAAGGGACCGCTCCCACGGCCAGGACCTCCATGGCCGCGCTCTGACATGGCTCTGACTATCCAGCGCCCTCAAGTGCCCCTTGGTGGGACTCGTGACACCAGAGTGATGCCTCAGGACCACCGTGGGGAGAAAACAGGACAGATGGATGGGTGTCATCCATGGGATGGGGGATGTGGGACCGTTTCAGAGGAGATCAGTGGAAACTTCAGTGACCACCTGCCCATTACATTTTATTAGTATAACAGCGTATGTGTGTCTACTGTGTGTCAGCAGTGTGCTGAGCACTTTGCATATGTTATCTCTTTAAGTCTTCACAATAGCCTTGCAAGGTAGGAAAAACTCTATACAACTTCGAAGATGCAGCAGGCGAGGCTCAGAGAGGTTAAGTAAATGCCTGTAGTCACATAGCTGCTAAGGGGCGGTGCTGCTTTGCAAATACCAGTCTGGCTGTCTCCAGGACCCTTTCCGTTCTCCTTCCCCCCTCTACTTGTTTCCGTACCATCAGGGCCCGTAGGTGGAAATCAGCCCTTCAGAGTTATTTTTTTTTATTATGGCCTCAGGGTGTCATAGTCTATTCTAGTCATATCACTATTGAAGAAAGAAAGCATCAGTGCAGTGAGTACTACAGACACCTCACTAGGCACACAGGGAATTTATAAATAAAACATTTCCTTCTGGCCAGTTTAAGTTCTGCCTTGGAAATCCATGACTGCTTTCATTGCAAAATCCAGTGTTTTAATGTCATTGGGGAGACCAGTGATTTCCTTTAGCCTTCACTCTGTAGAATCAAGGTCGAGTCCAATGTCAGGGGGTGGACAGTCATGGCCTCACATTTATTTTCGGGAATGCGGGAGGGGCAAAGCAAGAAGACTCTGCCAGAGACTGAGACAAAGATGAAGGGCAGGACACCTGCGTGGGAAGAAGCACGCTCCCCCTGACTGTGGGCACCGTGGACTCCTCACCCTTCCCTTCCCCGTGCATCAAGACGTCTAGCCTCGGCGAGGAAAGACTCACGGGCCAGAACAAGAAAAGAAGCCTTTTAGTTATACCTTCCTTAACCTCAGTTAAGTAACGGGAATGCAGGCTTTTTCTTCCCTTCCACCCTGGCTGGTGTCGCCCAGTGCTGGATTGGGCTGCTTTGACTTTGACCTGAGATGGCAGTGGGAACCATCACCAGGCTCACTGCTCGGCTATACACAGCAGGTGTTTGGCAAAACACTGTTAAATGGGTGGGTCAATACGAATGGGGCTCCTTTTCCATTTGCTTGGTCTGATACTGTTCTCAGTTCCTTCCAGACCCACCTGTCCTCTCTCTAGGGTGGACCCAAGATTTGGGTCTGCCCCAGCCCTGGCCCCAGGGAGAGAGGATGGCAGCCTTCACCTGGTGTGTGGTCCCCCCGACTGGGGTGCTCTGCTGCATTGTGGGGGTCTTCTTGCCCTTACTGGAGGTCTTACCCACCAGACCCTGGAAACCTTTCCTCTCCTCGGCTGGTTTCCTTCCTGAGCTCATTTACTGGCTAGTTGTAAGCTTGTTCGACCACTCCAGAAAGCCTGTCTTTTGCTTACTCTTCACTGGCATTTGAGCCCCAGGTGGCTGTGCAATACCAAGGGCCAGTGTTCTGCCACATTCCATGTTCTGTCTGATTGCTTCCAAAAATTCCCAGCAGACTTCTAGTTCTTCCAGGCTCCAGACCCTCCCCGCCCAAACCTCCCCTTGCTTCCTATTTCCAGTCCGGAGAGACTGTCTTGAGTTCCTTTGCAGAGCAGGACTGACTGACTGGCCGAGGGCTGATGTGCTGAGTGAAGGAGTTCGCTCTTCCTGGCTCTGGTTGCCATCTCTGCCTGCTTTCCCAGGATCCGCTGATGAGTTACTCAGGTGTCCTCCAGGGAGGGATCTCCTGGAGCCAATTATTCCTATTTATTTAATTTCTCAAAATATCTTAAGCACACAGAACAATAACAGCCCAGCTGCCATCAACGCTTGAGGATGGCTTTCCTTTGCCACCTCCTTTGCTGGTGGGAAAGACACCTGTGCCCAGCCCAGGGTTCCCTTGTGCCCCCTGGACAGCTGAGCTCCCAAATTCACCATTAAAGGATTAATTTCCATGCTCATAATGGATGCTATAAATAAAATAAATCGTCAATTATCTCAGTTAACAGAGGGAAGGGATAATACAGAACTCCCAATATTAAATAAGACCAGCACATCTAGTTTGGGAATGTATTATATGGCATAGACTTCTTCAAAGCAGATTTCCCCTCTTCATTTTATTTGACTTTGGTTGGCATCACCATTGGGCGGACTGCCTGAGCCGGTCCGTGGGTGAAGCTCACGTGGGGCGTGGGGAAGAGGGGAGGAAAGCTTTGTGAGCAAGCATCCGCAGGGCCATGGAGGACCAGCTCCAGGCCTGGATGGGGTGAGGCCGCTCTTGGATAGCTTAGGGAGGGGGAGTTGGACCTGGGAAGGGCAGGGAGCGGCAGAGCAGCAGAGCAGCATCGCTCCTGATGAGGTGGCCCGCTGCTGCCCAAGTTGGCTTGGCTATGTTATTGAGACCGGCAGCCTGTCTTCACCCCGTGTCCTGAGATGAGAGAGCTTTTGACAGTGTCCAAAAATCACTTTAACGGGCTTCTCTGGTGGCGCAGTGGTTGAGAGTCCGCCTGCCGATGCAGGGGGCACGGGTTCGTGCCCCGGTCCGGGAAGATCCCACATGCCGCGGAGCTGCTGGGCCCATGAGCCATGGCCGCTGAGCCTGCGGGTCTGGAGCCTGTGCTCCGCAACGGGAGAGGCCACGGCAGTGAGAGGCCCGCGTACCACACACACACACACACAAAAATCACTTTAACGAAAACAATCGATTTTTACTTCTTCCAAGCAAAAGCAGCCTCCAGGTTTTTTTTGCTCCAGGGATTTGCATTTCCCTTTAAAGCCTAATCCTGGAAGGGTCCTGCCTGAGGTTTCCGGAGACTGGGAGCCGGGCCTTGGAGAGCAATGCAGGCACTCCACAGAGTGGGGTACTTGATCAGGCTTCCCCAGTGGAGACAACCAGAGGTGTGGTTTTGTTAACCCTTCAGTTCCTGAAATTCTGGCTGCACCCTCATCCACTGCCTCTGGGGGGCCCACCAACCCTCCTCCCACCTTCCACATGCCTTGGTGTGGGACACTGGCCAAACGGTGCCCACCTTTGATGGTGGTGGGTCCCTGCCCAGGGAGATCTGATCAGAGTGCACTTACTGGGAATAAATGACCTCAGGGTCTTTTCTTGGTTTGACATTTCTTAACCAACAGTTTTCTGGTGCTGAAATTCCTGAGTAGAAACCTGCATCACAATAAGGAATCATTCATTCATTCAACATTTACTGAGTGCCTACTGTGTACCGGGCAGCATGGTAGGCTCTGAGAATACACAGGCACTATGATGGCATGTCAGCCCTACATAAGGTACAGACAAAATGAACTGAATGAGACTCAGTTCTCTTCCTTTGAACCAAAACAAGAGAGGGTGGCGAGAGCAGTAGACCAAGGATCAGAAAAGAGGCTTTTACTCACACTCTTCCCGTCACCCAGAGGCTACCCCTCACTCTGCTCTGTGTGTAGCTAACCCCCGTCATCCTTCGAGACAGCCCACATCGTCTCCTCCAGGAGACCTTCCCAGCCCTCCGGGAGCTCCGTGCCCCTCCTCCCGCCTCCCACTGCAGCCTCTGCATACCTCTGTCTTGCCGGTTGCCACATTTTATTAACTTTATTTGTTTATGTGTCTTTCCCCCAGGATGTGAGCTCCTCAAGGGCAGGTCTCTATTCCAAAGATCATGGTATGATCCATGCCTAGCACAGGGTCTGATATGTATTGGGCCTCAATATATATCTGTTCAACCAAACAGGTTTGTACCCCAGCTCACCCGTCTTCAGTTTTCTCACCTGTTAACCATCTCCTGCCCATTGTGAGAACCAATGAAAGTGCCATCTGAATGTTGGTTATATGGTCATGTCCGACAGGATATTTGTGGGTGGGTGGAGATGGGGAGACCAAGCAGAGCGTTCTCTGGTTCTGACGTCAGCCTAGCAGAGTTGGGGCTTTCTTGCAAGGGAAGTTTAAGCCTTTGTCTTTCACTATTGGCCAGGCTTCCCACTGCAGACTCTGGAGCAGGGAGGAGCACAAAGAGAGCCATAGATAAGCCCCCCTACCCATGAAGTGTCCCTCCATTCGATTATTTGAGTAGCTACTGGGCTCTGGGGATACAGCATCAAAGAAAACAACCCCTGATCCAGTGGAGCTTACATTCTAGTGGAGGAAAACAGACAGTAAATAGAAAAATACATACATACATACATGTATCCTATCAGACCGCAATTCATGCTGCAGAGAAAAACAAAGCATGATGTGAGAAATAGGGGGTGCTGAGTGTGAGATGGGGTAGAGCAAGGGAGAGCTGCTATTTTAGATGAGGAGGTTAAGACAGGCCTCTCTGATAAGGTTACATTTGAGCAGAGATCTGAAGGAATGTGGGTTTCTTGGGGAAGAGCATTGCAGGCAGAGGGAACAGCAAATGCAAAGGCCATTAGGCAGGAGGGGCCTTGGTGCACTATTCTTGGAAGGGCAAGAAGGCACTTATGGTCCAGCCCCAAGAGCCGGTAGCGGGAAGCAGCTCATGCAGGGCCCTTATGATCACCTCAAGGACTTGGCCCTTTGCCTTTCACTAATCTGCTTAGAATGGGAAGCCACTGGAGAGTTTTGAGTAGACCTGACTCATGTCTTAAAAGGATCACTCTGGGTACTGGGTAGTGAATATATTGTACGGGAGAAGCTACCACAATAATCCGGGCAGGAGATGATGGTGGCTGGGATCTAGGGTGGTGGTGGCAGTGGAGAGGGGAGAAGGGAGAGATTCCGCATCTATTTGAAGGTAGAGGCCACAGGACACACATGCTGGTCCTGCTGTCAGCCTGCCAGCTGAAAGCTTCACCAGCTCCCATGGCAGACAACTGGCCTGAAGACACATTCCTAAAGACCTCCACCGCTGGGAGAAACATTTCACAAGAAGAGGCCTCAAGGGCCTGCAGGATAGCTCCCAGACTCTGGCACAGAATGGACAAGCCCCATAGGCCGAGCTGGAGCATGGCCAGCTGAGAGCAGGGCTGGGCTGGACTGGCGGTCAGTGGGAGCATCTGCACCTGATTGAGGTTGTCTCCAACCCAGGCAGAATTTCCCTATAGCACCTGCCAAGGGTTGGGCACCACCATGCGGGGACGATCTTGGCTCAGAAACTGAAAGGGAGAGGCCAGTCTCAGAGTCAGTGGCTGTGGTAGCTGCCGGCACAGAGGGGCAAGCGGAGGGCTTCAGGGCTACGGAGGAGGGAGAGATGAATTCCCACAGGTGGGATGTGAGCTTTGACGTTCTTCACACCAGAGTCACCACATTAGATTGCTCTTCCGATCCAACAGTTCAAATTGCTGCAATTTTCGGAAAGGGATCTCCACACTGATGCCCATTTCACAGCTCTCTTTGGAATCTTTGAAAATCAATCTCTCTCTCTCTCTCTCTGTTTGGTTTTGTTTGGGTTTCCCTCTTTAAACATACCCATAAACACAAACATGATCCTTCCTGAGGAGCAGCAATTATTCTGCCTGAAAATAGTGTAAATAAAAGGCATCCTGGCCCTCTGTCTCCCCAGGGGAGGGGCAGAACCCCTTGGTAACTACATGAGGATTTTTGTCTCTCTCGCCCAGGTGGGAGCGCCTGTCCCAGGCCACGCAGGGCCCTTGGCCACATGCCATCATGGCTGGGAGCTACTCCCAGGCAAGGAGAGGAGCAGAGACTTCTCTGTGAGTCCCCCCATGCCCTGTCCTCAGACAGGTGGTCCCCTCCAGGAAGCTGACACTCTAGTCACATCTTAAGTGTTCATCCTTTGTGATGACCAAGTCAGTTTTTCTTTCCTGGGAAGTGGGGACCAAGCCCTTAGCAATCTCTTTTGGAAGGAGTGCATAGTAGTGAATTCAAACCAACCTTGAATGGGGACTTGTTTGTGACGAGGAGGAAGGGGTTACCACGATGCCTTCAAGAACCCATAGTTCTCGACCAAAAGGCTCATGTACTGTGGCCTCCAGGTCAAGGCCAGTGCACCTGCCTCTGTCCAGACTGCTTTTCTCAGACCAGAACGTAGGCCTCTTCTCCCCAGCCCCAGCTCTCTCCACCCAGCTCAATGCAAATGATGGGTTGGTGGGAAGGGGCTTGCTGGGGAGGGAAGATAACTCAGCCTTTGCTGACCATGGTTGGATAGAGGGAGATTGCATCTAGCTCATGTAATCATATTCTGGGTGTCAGGACTCGAATGAATGTCATTAAACTGAATCAGAAAAATCGTTTTAATATAAGTGCCACCTCACACACAAGCTAGTTGATGGAGAAATGGATGGGGCTGGGGACGCCTCCTTTGTAATGTGATGCCGTAAAATCCCATCACCTTCATTATTTCCCACCAAGCCAACACATCATAATGCCCATGAGCAGCAGAACAGCTTGAATTTAATATACAGAAAGTCCAATCAAACAATAAATGGATGGAACTATATAAAGAAACCATTTTCTGGGAGGCTGGCTCCATTCTCTGGGATTCAGCTCCCTGACACATGAAATGTGCATCAATTTTCCCCAACTAATGCAGCTGCTGAATCACCACATTTGATATTTGTTTGCTTCAGAAGGAGAAGAGGGGAACTTTCTCCCCTACATTATCTAGCTATCAATGCAAAATTGCAAATCTCATTTTCTTTGATTTGCATCCAGTGGTTCCCGGTGGCACAGCAAGGCACCCTCCTGTTACCAGCAAGACTGGAAGCACAGCCCTCCCTCCATCCCAGAACCTTACTCGGTCCCAGGGGCACTTTGTCATCATCTTTAAACAAAATCCAACTCTGGACCCAGAGTGGGTAGTTAGGGGGCTGGGACGTCTCTACCCTTGCAATCATCTGAAAGAAACTGGCCAAACCCTGGGGCATGCTGACAAACCCAAGTTCCTGTGATGCCCTAATCGTCCAGTCTTGCCTTCAAGGTTGTATAGAGCAGATGTTTCCTTCTGGAAACATCTCCCACCAGCACAGTCCTCCATCTCCCCTTCCATCCCTGTTACCCGGCCAGTTATTGAGAGGCTGTAAACGCAAATAGCAACCCGATCAGCCAAACAAAATTAAAAAGGCAAATCAGCTCCTTAAAAATCATCCAGTACATGTCAAAGACTGATGGAAATCATGTTTTTATGCTTCTGGTGTGGGATTCTCTCCAACGCTGTTTTTCCAACGGGATGGATAACTGAGAGTTAACCATAATTACAGACTTATAGCTGCTGAGAAGTATCATTAGTTTATTTTTACTTCTTCCTGGTCACGCATATTTAAACAGGAAAAAAAAAAAGAACCTTAGGAGGATTCAACTAAACTGAATGATATCAAAACCATGGACAGCATAAATCTCGATTCAGTTCAACAAACATTACTGAGCACCTAGTATCTGTGAAGCACCCTATTAGGCAGTGTTGAGGATACCAAAATAAATGAGACCAAGACCGAGTTGTAAACTCCCAAGAAGTTTACAATATAGCAGGGGATTGGAGCATGTTTCTGACTGTACAGGAGAGAATGGGGCATGTGTTGAAATGATCAAGAAGTGTTCGGCACAGAAGAAAAGCTTAATAAGTA